CATTGGTGAATGCCACAAATTCTCCTAAATCACTCGTACACAACAATTTTAAGAACAAATCTGTGCGTACGATCAGGTTTTGCATGAGGCCCATTGTTCTCTGTGTTCATCTGGTTCTCCAGAGTTTTTATACTTATTTCTTCCTTGTGTGCTCGAATATTTCTTCTTTTATACTTTATCTCAAGTACTTACTTGAATGGCTGCAGCTGTAATAATTGCAATTTCACCCCGGGGATCATTAAAGTATTCTGATTCTGATTATTTCTCAGAACTTTATACATCAAGCTGAGCTGTAGCAATTGTACTGCATGCCGAGTTTTTCCYGGTTGCTTCTTTCTGTGCCTTTTGCAGACTTTTGAGTACTGTTTGGTACTATACTTTAACAGGTTCAAGTTGCTGAAGCTAAGATTACGCATGTCATTCAGCTGAAGCACACGCTGGATCTGGTGCCACAGTTAAGGGTCTGTAACTATTAATGTAAAAATTCTCTCAAACATACAACATCTATTAATTAAAATAAAAAGCCAGTTTAAGTGTTAAACTGATTGAACAGGCGGTGCTGAAGGACTGCAGCACAGCTCTACTGAAGGCRTACAGCACCACACTGGAAGACAACAGGTACAGGTTCTCCATGTTTCTAGAACGTCACCTTTAGTGCCTGTTCTGGTCTGAGTTAACGTGTCCTGTTTCAGATTTGACATGATCCTCAACCAGATCAAGACAGTGATCAACTGTGACACCACATATCTGAAAGGCAGCCTGAACATGCGCACCCAGAAGTGTTACGCCGTGCGGCCCAACATCAACGAGTTCCTCGACATCGCCCGCAGAGCTTACACCGAGATAGTTGACGACATCGCAGGTGTTTGATGAATACCCTCGTCGTGCAGCGTTCRTGTAATATACCCAGAGCTCACGGCATAGTGTGTGTCTTTGCTCCGCACAGGGCTCGTGAACCAGCTGGGGGAGAAATATGGCTTGCCGATGCGCACTAGCTTCAGTACGGCTCGAGGTTTCTTCATCCAGATGAAGCTAGAAGGTGTCGTTTKTCCTGAGGACAAACTCCCTGCAGAGTTCATCAAGGTACAATACTCTAAAGACTTTAAAGGGCAAGTCTGAGAACAACTGACAGTTAAAATGACCCTGRTGGCCAATAAAGCTGAAAGAGAAATAACAGAAAACCCACGTTTTATTGTCCTCTCAGGTTACCAAGCACAAGAACAACTATGGCTTCACCACTGCAGGCTTGATGAAGATGAATGGACGCTGTGATGAAGCCCTGAGGGAGATTTTTCACATGTCTTACATGTAACACATCCTGTCACTTACAAACTTGCACACTAATGACACAAAACATCTCGCTGCACAGAATTATTTCGAACAMTGACAAACTGATTTGTATTAAGACAGAAAACATATTTGTACTATTTCCAGACGTTATTAAAAGAAACTAGAAATTGACAAAAAAGTGTGACAAACTATTTTGTTAAGTGTTTAAAAGCAGCTGCTGTAATGCGGTTTTTGTTTTATTTTGATCTCCTTTGTGTCCACTAGAGGGCCCTGTTTGAAAGGTGTTATTTCTTACTGATGTTTTTACACTTCTCTTTTTTTCTGTTTCTAAAGTGTGATGTGTCAACTGCTTAGCACCATCCATGAGCACATTCACTGCCTCTATAAACTCTCTGATGCTGTGTCCATGTTGGACATGTTGCTGTCACTGGCTAATGCATGCACAATCTCAGATTATGGTAAGTACAAAACCAGTGTGATTCCTAACTTTTCTTCGATCGTGTGTTATCTAAAGAGAGTAACCACAAAAGGGCCGCTCCTGTCACACACGACATCCAGTTCCTGCTTTACTGAGCTTGCACCTCTGCAGGGCTCCGTTCTTTTTTTGTGTGCTGCACCGTCAGCCATGTGGGTGGTTAGTCTTGGCCTTCAGCTGTCTGAAACTGTCTCTTCATAGACGCACGCTGACTGCCTGCCTCGTTCTGCTCCAGCCGGCATGTRCTCAGATTACCCTTCTTACATAAGTGCGAGCTGAAGGTGCTGTATTTGCAGAGACAAGTACAGCAGCCTGTAAAGCCCCTCACACGCCTCACTTAGAAATAATTGTTTCATCACACAATAGGTCATTTTGTAGATAACCAGCGATAAAATTTAATTAATTGTACTTGAATTTGATTTTTTTAAAGAAAAACATGCTCTTAACATACACTTTTGCACCACAGAAATGTATGAAAGTATTCATTTCTATTGAAAAATGTGTTTTTCTTGCTGCATTTGCCAGTGCGGCCTGAGTTCACAGACACTCTGGCCATCAAACAAGGTCGTCACCCAATGCTGGAGCGAATGGCTCGGCAGCAGCCTGTGTCAAACAATACCTACATCTCAGAGGGCAGCAACTTTGTCATCATAACYGGTCCCAACATGAGTGGCAAATCCACCTACCTCAAACAGGTGGCGCTGTGTCAGGTCATGGCTCAAATAGGTCAGCATTATCCTGAGAATTCAAACCTTTTAAATGCTGCTATGCATCATTGTGACTTGGTTTATGATCCTTTATTGTTCTTTTCCAGGGTCCTTTGTCCCGGCTGAATATGCCTCCTTTCGTGTTGCTGATCAGATTTTCACCAGAATTGGTGTGGATGATGATTTTGAAACCAACTCCTCCACTTTCATGTTAGAAATGAAAGAGGTGTGTCCTTTTTTTTTACATACAGGGATCATTTACTTTTATTCATTTGTCTAATGTGTTTTGTTGTTTGCCTTGAGATCTCTTACATAATCCACAATGCGAGTGACAAGTCCTTGATCATCATTGATGAGTTGGGGCGTGGCACGAGTGCTGAGGAGGGCATCGGCATCTGTCACTCAGTCTGCGAGGTCCTCCTTCGCCTTAAGGTGAAATATGCTCAGCTTTGCCACTCCTCTCTTCGTAATGAAAAAAACGAGATTATTCAGATTCCTAGTCGTTTTATCCTTTTCTGTTCGTCCGTGAAACACCTCTTGGATCAACAGCAGAGCAAATACARGAATCCTGTGTGCTCACTATTGTTTCAATCCCAAAGGTGTGTCCTTATTCTCTGCTGTTTGYAGGCGTTCACTCTGTTTGCCACACACTTTCTGGAGCTGTGTCAGCTGGAGTCCCTCTACCCTAATGTGGAGAACCAGCACATGGAGGTTCAGCACACGCGCAGTGGTGACACTGGTGCAGAACAAGTGGTGTACACGTATCTGCTGAGTCGAGGATGCTCTGAAGAAAGGCACTATGGTGCGGTTGGTGAAATCCAAGAACAGACCTGTTGAAATTAGCTATTAAAATGATTACAAAGCTCGTGTTTTCTTTTTCTAGGTTTGAAAGCAGCAGCAATGACCGCACTTCCTCTGAGTGTAATTCAAGAGGCTGAGATTTTTGCCTCTCGAGTCAGCCAGCAGCTTTTGGTGCGCCTCATAAAGATCAGATTTTGACATTTCGTTCAACCCTCTTTGCTGCTTTAACCTTTTCTCTTTCTGCTGTAGTACATTGTAGTCAATGTTTTTCATCCAGGTTCCACTTATTAATAATAATAAACCCTGACGTGAGGTTCAGTAGTCTGAAAACAAATTTAAAAACTATGTTTGCGTTATTAATAATAATGGAATTTAACTGAAGAAGAGACAAAACCTAAAGTGTATTTTATTGTTCCAGGCCAAACATCAGACTGATCCAGAAACTCAGAGACAGAGAGCTGTGTACCGCCTGGCCACTCGCCTCCAACAGACTGCCAGAAACTCGAGACTTGACCCCGAAAGCCTGCGTATGTATCTGAAGGGACTGAGGAGGCAATATGAGGCTGAGCTGGAGGCTGCAGGGCCCACAGAGAGCTTAAACACAGAGGAATAACTGAATATTCCCTTTAATAGAAAATAAGAATAATATACTGAAAGTGGACATATTGGGCCTATTGTGTAAAGGCTAAGTCAGCATTGGCTAATTGATTTCATATTTATAGTTTCTTCCATCTGATTTTTGGACTGTAACTATTTTAGCATACTCTCAGTTCATTGTTCGTCTCATTTAAGAAAATGTTCAGCTTTTTCAGAACACAGCTGTGACTTTTGGTATTGTAACATTTATGTATATTTTTCTCAGAAATGCAAAGTGATATACCTCTTCCTTTAAAAACCTTGTGCCTTTGGAAATTGTTATTTTAAGCTTTTAGTCACTGTTATACTTGTTTTAGTTTTTAGCTACTACATGATTGTAGCTTTGAGCTACTGTTATGCTGGTATTAGCTTTCARCTATTGTTTTGTTAGATTTAGTTTTTAGTTGTTTAGCTAATTTTGGTTTATGTCTAGTGGTTTGCTACTTCTAGATAATGTTCTGTGGGTTTTATCATTTAGCTACAGTGTTATGAATTTTAGCTCTTAGCTAATATTCCACTTATTTCAGTTAGGTTTGATTTCCAGTGGTACTGTTTCTTGTCYGTCAAATTATTCTGTTTGGCAGCATCATACCACATATTTTGTTATGGTTTGTCATAATGATATTTGTATTGTGAAATGAAAATATGGCAAAATAAAAGTTTTTTTTTGTCTCAGGAAAAATAAAGACCTAATTTATAAAAAAATATATATATACCGGTAATAGACTGATATAGAAATTGTAAGAAATAGTGTAAAATAATTGTTAGAAATAGTGTAAAATAGAATAAAAGTGTTTCTAAAACAAAACAAAAAAATTTTTTTAAGAAATAATGTATAACAAAAGCAAATGAAGTGTTTGTGCATAAAAAAGTATTTTATTTTATTTTGTTTTGTTTTATCTGGGTCATAGTTGGGGGGGGGAGGGGCGGGGCAACGACCACGCCTGTTCGGTGCTTTTTTTTTCTTTCTTTTTTTTTCGGTGCTTTTGATTGACAGATCTGGACTGCGCGATGACTGGTGCGCTCGGTGGGCCCCGACTAGCAAAACAAGCGCTCCTCCACAGGCCAGTTATGACCCGCCCCCGCGAACCAGAAACAGCAGAGCGTGTGTGACGGAAAGAGAAAGCCAGGCTGGAGCTGCCCTGGGAAGTCGGGAGTCTGCCGGAGTCAACGTAGAACAACGCCATTTCACTACTACAAGCTAAGGGRACAGACAACTCAACCCACAGGTAAGCGGACAGCTGTTTCCGCAGATGCTAGTATTGAATTCTTGACAGAAAAGCCGACCATCCCSGTGACAGCAGAGCTTCTCACATACAGGCCTGGTGACGGCCCACAGCGGAGGAATGAGAAGTAAACCGGGTCAGAGAGGCCCGTCAGAGTGGATGTCCACGCCTCCAGAGAGCCAAACTATTACTGTTAATAACTTCGCTGGGCACTTAAGTTATGACGACAATTAAACGTGTTAATTTGACTGTCCAGCTAGCGTTGTAGTTCAGATTCCTGTCGGTTAGCGCTGAGCCTGATGTTAGCTTAGTGCTGAGGCTGACGCGAACTTGAAGAAGTGGTGACGAGCCTTCTCTTTAAATTTACTGACGTAGGAACTACTTAATGTGGCCACGTTCGGTCGCTGGTTGAGCTTCAACAAGCACATTTTTTGCCAATCCTATTGAGGAAGTGATGTAGTGGACATGCTTACTTCTGCTTTGATGACTAATTTCGCAACGTGTGACACATATAGGAAGCTGCGTGGGCTACTTTACTTTAGCAAGAGCATTTGACCCCTGTATATGTTCCGAAACGACAGGCTTCGGCTTGGCGTAAGACCAGCTGCCATTATGGATCATGGTTGAAGATTTATGTTCAGCATGACCAAGCAAGCTAGTACGTTTTAGTGCTCAGTCTGTGAATTGCTTTCATTAAGTGCTGATGTGGCTTAAAGGAAATGATACCAGCCCTAAAAGACGAGTTGAGTTGCTGTAAATTATTTCTGGTATTTACACTCAAGGACACTTATGTTGCCAAACCCACATCATCTGCACTGAGGAGGTGACTAACATGCTGCCACTCCCAATGACCTTAAATCTGGCTAGTTTGTTTGYGAACCTAGCTTTCGTGCCAAGTTAACTTTGATCTAATTGATGTTTTCTGAAAGTTACTAGACATCACTTAAGAAACCTTCGGGGTATTTTAAAACAACAACAAACGAGTCTTAGTTTTGAGCTCTGTCTGTATTTTTAATCAAAGCGACCTTAAAATAGCACAAATACAAAAGAGACAGAGAAATGACTTTGGACATATTGGCATCTGTTTGAATTTAAAATGCTCCAACTTGGATAAAATCAAAATAAACTAAGGGTTAAATGACTCAAAAAATACCAAAGGGACACTCACCAGTGTTTCCTACCATTATACAGTCTTGTTCCTAATCAGGGTCAGGGTGGGCCTGGAACCTGTCCTCGCTGTTCACCAGAGACACCTGGACAGGTCTCCAGTCTCTATCAGGGACACAAAAGAGACAATCAACCATCCACACTCTGTCACACCTGGAGTCACACAGAAGAGCTCCAGAAGGTTTCAAACTGAGAACTCTGGACTCAGATCATCTGCTGCACACAGTTCTGACCATTTATTATCAATAATAACTTTATTGATTAATTATCATGAGGAGTCCTTAACTAGGATGTAGTTAGGCAATTAAATATTCGTGTATGTATAAATTTATTACCATAATTGCAGGTGAGTCACGTAAATTTATGTTTTTATAAAACAAGTAGCCCCGCCCCCCAAGACCAATTTCCTAGGGGAAACACTGCTCACCATTATAGAGCACAGAGGTTTAGGGTTTATGTTTAAAAAAACTGAACTAAATAATGTTTTGGTATCAYAAAATATAGTGTTGTCTATAAACAGGCTGTTGGATTTAATTTTCATTGATTTAATTAAACTCTCAGTAATGATTGGAAGATATAAACTTTAGCTGAYTAACTTTTAATCRGCCCGATTTAAATCGACCCCCACWGCTAATCAACCTTAGCCAATCAGTTTTACGGATATTGAGCTAAACTGTAGTGTGGCAGTAGTTGAAAGTCAGCCGTCTGACTCGTTAATATAGGTGCTGTTACTGTGTACTCTGAGGCTTTTACTTTGTAACCAAAGAGTTGATAAGAGCATTATCAGTTTATAATGCTTCCAGCTTTTTATCAAAGCAAGTTCACATTTCCTTTATCATGGTTGCTTGCTTTTTTGTTTATAATAACCTTAATTTTATTGGTGCACTATGTCCAGGTTTTGTCCTTGTATTATTGTAGTATTAAAACCAGATCAGTTGAATTAGATCATTAACGTAAGCCTCAMAATTGTTAACATCATATATAAACTAATAGTACCACCATATGTCACATTAAGTGTCAAAAAGTACCTGTTATTCATGTATTTTGTTTCAGTCACAAAGCTTACATAGAAGTTTCTTGTTGTATAGTTGTCACTGCATGTCTGCCCCATGTTCTGTTTTTTTTTTTTTKTTTTTTTTACACTGTTTCCTGATTAAGATATGGAGTGTTGCATGGCCTTGTTTTCAAGTTCTGCTCATGTTCAGGCCTGATAGTTATCAGGACTTGCCTCTGTGTCCTTGTCTGCCAAATCAGGAGGCCCGGCCAGCCAAGTGGGTAGATTCCGGGGAGCCAACAGCCCGAGAGGGCTTTGTCCTTCAGGCTCATTTTGATGCTGGAACAAGGCTCAGGCTCCATAAGGAAACACATGCACCCTCCACTCTGAGGCCTGAAGCTGAAAGCATAAAAGRAAGAAGAAAAGCCTCAAAGCTTTCCACCACTTACTCTACCCATCCTTTAAATGCCAGGATTTAATGTTGCTTCGACAGTCACGCTTATCATTTAATCTAATCTGACAAAGAAGTTCCCTGAAATATATATCTTGAATGTATTGTGGTTTTAAAGATACTTCCTGATTTGGTAGCCAGCACAATATTCGTTGGCTCCTGTACTATGTGTATTTTTATGTTTTGTTTGTTTACCAATGATGTGCTTTGCTTCAAGATATTGTCTGAGCAAATCATCCATAGTATTAAAGTACTGCCTTTTTTTGTTTTTGTTTTTAATGCAGAATAGAAAAACATGTAGGAAGTTTCTGCGTTATAAATCAACAGCCAGTGAAGAGGTCAAAGGTTTGACACTGCGTAAAAGGCAAACAAGTAATAAAAACTTTATGGGTTTGCACACAGATCTACTGCTGCTTGTCTGCTCTTGACATTTTTATGTATTTGCCACCAGCTGAAGCAGACTGAAGGTGAAGGAATGCACACTCTTTATTGTCACAAAAACGTGTTTAAGGAGCTGAAGTGGAAATAACTGAATGTGCAACGAAGGCAAACTCCAATCAGATACTGAAGTCAGACAAGTCAAGGCATTTAAAACTGTTTTACAGTAGAAGCAGAAAGAAAGTTGCTTAACATGCCCAGAGGAAATGTTGATGAGTTGAATATTAAACTTGTAACACACTTATTTTGTGTTTGTTTGTTGTGAAATGTGATCAATATGTTTTTTTTAGGGAAATAGAATGAACACTTTACTATAGAGCTAAGCCTGTCAGTGCTTAGGAAGCCCTGCAGTGGAAAGTTATTCTTAAATGTATTATCATGGGTAATCTCCTTAATCCAAATTACTAAAGAGGCCTGCTCTACGACACTGACTCCTACACAGTATGGCTGCCACAGTTCTTGACTGGATTGTCAGAGCTACTATGTTTTGTTGACAAGTCGGTGCAGATGTTGTCACTCGGGGCTTTAACTTGTCCTCGTTATCAGAACACTGTGCTTTTATTTATTGTTAACAGCGTATAGTGTTGCATGGTATTATAGTTTGAAAGATATACCCTCCTGCTGCAACAGTGTTTGAAAGGAGTTCTATTTACTTGCTGCCAGCCCTGTTATCCACTCTGTCTCTTCTATACTTCTATACCTGCACCTTATTGTGACAGAAAAACTGAAGGAAAAATCCTTTAAAAAAATGCCTGCTGTGTGTTTACTGGTTCCACCACAGTTTGTTCTTACCGCGTAGTTTTGAGGAACCACAACAGTTTTTAGGAAGAGTTGGCAAATCGTACAACAGCAGGGGCTAAAGGCATTTTAAAGGCACAGTGTGTAGGATTTTGTCAATTCTTTTAGCCGAAATTGAGATAATCACTAATTACAATAATAAAAAAACATGTCTAATCATTGCAGACAAAGACYTTGTTTTATTATATTTACTTTATAAAAAGCGGTTTATATCTCTATGGTCGCGGTTCGCCACTACAGGCAACCGCCATCTTGCACCGCCATCTTGAAGGCTCATGAAGGACAAACTGCGGTGGCGGCGCCAAAAACGGTTTTAGTTGTAATACTATAAATGTAATATTTGTTGTCTGTCATTGTAGCTGGGATAATTTTACTTATTAAAGCTCATAATCTTACCACTTGAAACATCACTAGCCCTGAAGCTGCTGGTAGACATCGCGGTTGGAATTATCAAAGGTTTTTGACACGTGAGAGACACCGTAGCAACTCCTTTGCGTTTGGGGGTGGGGGGAGGACCAGGGAGGATGATTAAACCACTCAACCACTAGATGTCGCTGAAAACAAATCATACACACTGTGCCTTTAAAGGAAAAATCCTTTAAAAAAAGCCTGCTGTGTGTTTACTAGTTCCACCGCAGTTTGTTCTTACCGCGTAGTTTTGAGGAGCCACAACAGTTTTTAGGAAGATTTGGCAAATCGTACAACAACAGGGGCTAAAGGCATTTTAACTCTGCAAATAAATGAACGTGCAGCCGTAGCTGATGTTGGCACCTAAAACTTAGGTACAGTTTAGCATTTTGCAAATGTTTAAACTATTTTAAAACACCATCCTGTTATCCTCGTGGGGGCTGAACGGGGTGAAATAACTTTTTTTTCCTGCCTACTTGCCTTTTGCATGTCATTGACCTATTTTAGCCACTCTGGCTGAAGTAGACGGCTTTAATTCTTGGTTCAATGTGATTTTTGTTTTTTTGTTTTTTCTTTATCTAACAATAGTTCAGGTTGTGTAGCATTTTTTCTATGTGACCTTATTTAATATAAAGAGGATCTTCAGCTCTCTAGTAGATATAGTGTTGTATAATTGGATCATATCTCTAAAGGGTGAGGTCAGTTGTCTTTGTAAACTTCAACACACATGAACGCCTCATAAAACAGGGGTTGACCTGCATGGTTATTTTCATTTAAAAGCTTGGTTGAATGTTGTAGTTCCTGTTGTGTCAGAAGTACAGTATAAGTTGCTCAGGCTAAGTGTTCCTTTCTTTTCCAGAATGGCGGTGGATATCTACGACTCTCAGTACCTTCTCATCCTAGCTCCAACCCTGGTCATCGCCCTCATGTTTCTTTTCTTCTGGCTCTTCATGAAAGAAACGTCTTAYGATGAGGTGCTGGCCAGGCAGAAACGTGACCTCAAGCTGCCGCCGGCCAAGACGGACTCTCGAAAGAAGAACGAGAAGAAGAAGAGCAAGAAGAAGGAGACCACCGGTGGAGGAAGTGGTGGAGGCGGAGGGGAGTCGGAAGAGGACCTGCGAGAGTTTGAATTGGTCGATGGTGTTGGCTCAGGTCTGGAGGCAGAAGAGGAACCTGTGCTGGAGGTGACACCAGAACCTGCTCCTCCAGCAGTTGCTGCCAGTGTGCCTGTTTCAGCCTCACCGGAGGCTCCTGCCGGTCTGAGGGAGAGAAAGAAAAAGGAGAAAAAGGCTGCCAAAGCTGCTGCTGCTGCCGCCGCCGCTGCGTCAGCAGCAGCTTCCCTCTCAGAGGAGTCAGAAATAAATGACTCCAAGCCAGTCGGTCGCAAGATGGAGATGCCTCAAGCTGTAAGCAAACAGTCAAGCCCTCCGTCTCCACAGTTTGAGTTTCAGACTCAAGCTGCTCAGGCTCCTGTTCAGGCTCAGACGCCTCCCCARACCTCTGGGAAGAAGGAGAAGAAGAAGAAACAGAAAGCAGAGTCTGGTATGTACACTTTGAACTGGGTGTGTCTCTTCAGGCGAATGCGTGACTTTCTAATAAACCTTTTTATTTTGTCTGTATTTCTCTAACAGTAACCAGTTTTATAAAAACGGGGATGAAAAATTGTTGCTTTCACTCATTAAAAAAGGTTTATAGCAGAATGTTATGAATAATTTAATACTTCTTCCCTGCTGACTTGTCCTTTAGTCGATGTCCAGCTGCAAGAGGTGAAAGCAGAGCAGGCCCCAGCACCGGTCAAAAAGGAAACTCCCTCTGTGGCTGAAACCAAAGTAGTGGATGGTGCAACTCAAATTTCCACCGGTRGCAAAAAGAAGAACTCTGCCAAGAAGCAAAAAACTGAGCCTGGTAATGATGATTATCAAGTAATCTCAGATTCAAAACCAAATCTTTGCTTCTCAAAGCCTTTTGGATCAGGATCAGACTTGTATCTCTCTCTTTTTATCAAATCCAGTTGATGAAACCCACATTTTGGCAGATTTGGCAGCCTCTGCCAATCACCAGGCAGTCCATAATGATGATGTTCCATCTAAAGGCTCTGGCAAGAAACAGAAGAATGAGACTGAAAAAGGTAGAGCATTAATTTTTTTCCCCCCTAAATAATATTGCTAAACTTGAGTGAATGTGTTTCCATCAGGTGATAAACTTTAAAAGGTTTGATAACTTTTTTTCTAAATTTAAAAAGTATGCGAACCTTTTCTATTTAATGTAATTCTACATCTTATCACTTTTGTTGCATTTTTAACAGAGAACCCGGAGATGAAAGTGAAGGAGCTGCTCTCTGGTCTGTCGGGCCTGGCTCTGTCAGAAGCAGAAGCTGTCAGCGTGATCGCTCTCCTCCGAGAAAAGAGCCCTAATGCCTTGGATGCCTGGCAGAAAGTGAGAGATTATTAAGTTGAGTTTGGTGTTGTGACAAATGCCGGCAGGAGACCTGGTGTTTTGTAGTTGGACTTTTACTGCCTTTTAAATCTCCCGTCTTTCACTCCCAGTCTGCAGCTCGAYCAGACCCAGCTGCCCAGGAACGAGAAAAACTTTTTACAACTCTGCAGGAGGAAGCTTCTATTGCCAAAGACAAAGTGAAACAGCTCAGTCAGGTAGACATTCCACAGCTGAGTCAGGGGATTTCTGGATTAATTTCTTTTTATTATTTTTTTCGTATTCCAATGAGAAACATCACATGCCCTCTTGGTTTCTGTGCTTTAGGAGCTTCAGGTTGAGAAGCAGAAGACCGGAAGAGTGGAGGCAATGATGAGGGAGCAGCGTGCAGCCTTGGAGAAAGAGCTGGGGGGCATGCAGGCCAAAGCACAAGGCAGCTACCAGGAGCTGCAGACCATGCAAATAAAGGTGAAGGTTTCATTTCTCAGTAYTGTTAGTGTCAGTTCTGTGTAAATCAAATGGCTTTTTTTTTACATAACAAAAACCGTGGTCTGTGTGCAGTTTCAGCAGGTGCGGGAGCAGCTGGAAAGCCAGATCACTCGACTGCAGCAGGAGAACGGTATCCTGAGGGACGCAGTCAGCTCCGCCACCAACCAGATGGAGAGCAAGTCAGTGTTACAAGTGTTTACAGTCATAGCAACCCAGTTCCTGTCAGAATGGAAGGTTTTTGTACGATATTACCTGATATTCTGTTAAATACCATCATTAAGTGGAGGATAAACTTGTTTTGCTTCTTAAAAATGGTGTCTCATCAATCCTTCTCATCATGTTCCTGGTAGGAATTCAGCAGAGTTGAACAAGCTGCGCTCTGAATATGCCAGTCTAATGAAAGAACTGGCAGACAACAACAGCAAGCTGCAGCAGGAGGAGCACCAAAGGAAGTCACTGGAGGTCGGCTACAAGCAGAACGTGTCCCAGCTGGAGGTACGCTGATCCAGATGGACATTGTGTTCGTTTAGCCTGAGCTTCGGTATCACCAGCTGAGAGAGAGGGGGGGAAAAAATTTGAGCAGAGCTGCGTTAGACCTGGGCGTGCCGCATAGCTTTAAATCTGGCCTGCGGGTGTGGCGGTGTTTCTGGGGAAAAGTGGGGGGAGAACTGTAGTGGAAGACCCGAGGAGGACTGTGGGAAACCCAACCTGAGATGGGAGGGTTTGTTGTCTTAGGAAGCTGGAATGTTTGAAGCTTTGTGCTGCGTATAAACAGCACTTTTCCTGCAAGACTCTCAGCCCTTCCTGTCTTTTATAAAATACAAGGTGGAGATCTCTGTTGTTGGCTCGACAAAGACACGTCTCTGCAGAAAACTTCAGAGCAGTATTGCGAAGTTGCTAAGTCAAACAATGAAACAGTCCTCAAGATATTACATAATCAAGGTTCACTGTTAAAGGAGACATATCATGCTCTTACRTCCTTTTTCACGTTGAAATCCTTCAGTTGGGCTCAACTTAAAGTGGAACTGCAATGCTKTAGTCTGAATCCCTCCTTATTGTAGCTCCACAAGCCCCTCTTTCACCTCTTTTCTGAGGTGTGTYTCAGATCATCTTGTTTTGACRCTGTCTCTTTAAATCCAAACGAGGCGCTTCTCACCCCACCCCCACTTCAGCTTCCAGAGCAGTCCATTCTAGTTTGATAGCAGAGATATGATTATTCAGCGGTGCAGAAACACTTTATTTATAAATTACTTAAAAGATGTCGACAAGGGAAGACTTGTCCATCCAGCCTTACATGTAGGAGCCAGAGTCTGAGGAGAATGAAGACCACCAAATTGTCAGAAAACGTCATGGAAAATAAAGGAAACTGAACAGATTAAAAAATAAGACCCAAACAAAAGATAACGATATCTATGCAGCACAGGGAGAGACTGAGTTAAAAAAATTTCACTCCTGGAGACTCCAAGTACACAACAAAATGCATTTAATGGCTAAAACAGTGGGTTTTGCATGATATGTTGTTTTTAATACAAATTATTATTATTGTTATTGTTATTATTATTTTTCTGCTTTTAACAATTGTGCCTATTTAAGCCACATACATTGTGTTAAATCCAGTGGTGTAAAGTAACTAAGTACAAATACTTTACTTAAGTAGAAGTATAGATACTAGGGTTTAAAAATACTTTTTTGGAAGTAGAAGTATCTTTTTACTCAAGTATAAAAGTACTGGTTTTAAAACTACTTAAAAGTACAAAAGTTTATGTAATGAACATTTAAAAAGAAAAAAAAACATTAAGGATAAAAGCTTAGGCTGTGCCACAAGGTTCTATAG